CTTTCCCTTCAGTGTCAGAAGAAGAGGCGTTTTCCTCCTTTCCAAGGCTATTGGGTCCAGCCTGCTGTCTCCTCTGAGACTTGCTTCATTGATAACCTCTCAAACCCGTCTTCACTTTTTCCTCCTCCACTGGCTGCTTCTCCTAAGCAAACACGCTCAGCTCTCTTCATCTTAAAGCATCCCTCTCTCTCTCTCACTCACTGTCTGTCTCTCTGTCACTGTCTGTCTCTGTCTCTCTCAGTCGTTCTCTCTCCTCCTCCTCACTGTCCCTCACGCACCCACACACACCTGACGGCCCCCTCCACCCTCCACCAGCTGTCCCCGTCAGGTAACACCTTCCCTCCCTTCCCTCTCTCTCTCCTCAGAGACAGGCTTCTGGGAAGAGTCCCGACTTCCTCTCCTCCCTTTACTCCTAAACCTCCTCCACTCTTTTCAGAAATGGTCCCTGCGATGCCAACTCAGGCCACTCAGTCCCTGACACGCTCAAGCACCGATAATGTGAAACTTCCTGTCCTTCCCAGAACTCTTCTCTTGGTTTCTGGGCCACTATTCCTTACTTTTCAATATCTGCATCTGTGGCCAGTCCTTCTCAACCTCCACCTCCACTCTAAGTGTTGACAGACCTCAAACTTACGCTTTTAGTCTCGTCATACATTGTGCCTGTGTAATGTCATCCATACCCATTGCCTCAGCTGCCAGCAATATGCTGAAAACTCCCTAATCTATATCTAGATTCATTTGCTAGAATGGATCTAGATATAGATTCGTGTGTCCCAGTCCATGTGCTCACTAGTCGTCCAACTAGGATTAAATAAGTGCAAAACCAAACTCATCCTCTTTCTAACCAAACTTGCTCTTCCGTAGCTCTCATCTCAGTGACTGGGCCACAATATGCACCCGGTGGCCCACACCAGAACTCTGAACAAGCTCACGCCGTCCCCTCCTCCCTCCATTCCTCCACACCATCATTTACGCAGGGCTGACAAGTCTGTCCTCTTAATGGATCTCAAGCCTGTCCTTTCTTCTCCGATGCCGCTGTTGGTGCCTCACGGGTTGTCATCTCTTCTGCTAAAAATTTCTCACTACCTCTCGTCACTTAGGAGAGATTCCAATCCTCAGCACAGCACACGAGGACAGGTCTACAAGATCTGGCTGGGCCACCACCCACTTTCTGCCACTCCACCAGAAAGGCACCACCGCTGGTCATGCCAAACTCCGAGTGGTTCTCTCCCAGCTCCCTAGGGCTTTGCTCACCATGGGAGGCGGGGAAACCCCACTTCCCTTGTCCACTACCAAATCCCAACTCATCCTTCACAGCCTAATTCAGGCTCCCCTAGTCCCCGACACCCCCCTGTTCTCCCAGAGTAGTTGTCACTCCCTCTTCTCAGAAACTTCTCATAGTCTAGAATCTGTTGCACTGCAACAGAACTGTGGACTTTCTGTCTCCCGTACGAGACTGGGAGCTCTTTGTAGGGAGAAACTTTTGTTTTGTTCATCTCTTTATCACCAGAGCCTAGCAAGGTGTCCAGCTATCAATAAGCACTTAGTAAATACCTGTAGAACAAAGGAAAGAAGAAACTGGGGTTTATCATAAAGTACCTCCCAAACTGGAAAATGAAATTATTTTCTGCACTTTACTTGTAAAAACCCACATATAATGGCGGAGATCAGCCACCTGAAGAAGTCATCCACCACCCTCGGAATACGTAAATCCTAAAACCTTTCCCTTTTCTCTCAGTCCGTCATCTGTCATAGTTTTACCTGCTCTCTGCAGCCTAAAAGCTGCTCCCTGCCACTTCAGCCATTCCCCTGCCAACCCCTCAGCAATACTCTAGCCTCCTTATCTTTCTGCCACAGCTTCCCAGCAACCCTCAACCTTAGGTCAATGCAACCATCTGCCAGGCCATAGCACTGCTGGAGAAAAACCACACACCTGTGGATCAGAGCCACACAGATTCAGTCTATGACCTCAGATGACCCTTCGGTATTATTGGGCAATATTCCAAATGTTCCTTGTTGACCACTGACCCTTGGGCTTATTCTGAAGCCCCCCACCCCCCAATGCCTCTCTATCAACCCCACCCTTCTCAGCAGAAAACCCTACCTCCCACTTCCCTGCAAAAGTTGAAGACAACAGGTGGGAGCGTCTTGAACTTCCTAGCCCCACCACCACGTTTCACATACCTTTCTTACGCAGCCTCAGGAAGAGGGCCACTCCCCTATCCAGGCTGACAGCACCTTTGCACCTGACTCCTGTCTCTACACAAACATGACTCATTGGCGTTGCCCTTTCTCCTGAAACTACCTACTGGGTCATTCCCCTCCTGCCCTTAACACCTTGAAACAAAACAAAATGAACAAAGAAAACCTCCCTGCATCTTGCGTATCTCCTAGCTGCTACCCTCCACCCCTCATTTCCCTTCATGGTCAAGTTTCTTTAAAAAATATTTTTTGAAATATTTCAAACATTTCAGAAAAGTAGGGACTAAATCACCACTGCATGTTGTTTTCTTTCCCTAATAAAACATGACAAATAGAGCTGAAACTCCCTTTGAACCCCCTCCCCAATCTCATTACCTTTTCTTCCTTCCTAGAGGTGACCACTGACCACAAATTAGTATGCCTGTCCATGGTTATATGCTTGTACTGCAAGCTTATCTATAAAAATGCTGAATTACGTTTCATGTTTGTACATTTTACATAAATGATACCATGTTTTTCATATCCTACAACTTGCTTTTTCCTCAGCATTATGTTGTTAAGGTTCATCCTTGTTATACATCTCGCTCCAGTCCATTTTTAATTTTTGGAGAGTCCTCCATTGTATGACTACACTCTCATTTACTATCTAGTTTTGTTTTGTTTTTTTTTTTTTTACGCACAGGATAAGTGGCCATGGCTCACGAGCCCAGCCGCTCCCCAGACCGGGGCACGAACCCGTGTCCCCTGCATCGGCAGGCGGACTCTCAACCACTGCGCCACCAGGAAAGCCCTATGTAGTTTCTTAGAAGAGCAATTTTCTACTCTTCAGTGTCCTGTATCTGCCCTCCCATCTCCTCTTAAGCCCTCTCCAGCTTGTCTTTGTCTTCTGCGCTCCTCATACCACCGAACTGCTCTCATCAGGGTCTCCAATTACCACGATGTTGCCAAACCCCATGGATACCTTTAGCCCTTATCTTACTGGACCTCTTTGCAACATTCTTCTCTGATTACTTCCTCCTGATGGTCTCTTCCTTCCTCCTCCTTTCTGAGTGCCCAATTGCCATATTCTTCATGAGTTATTCTTCTTTCTGTCCCCCTAGATCAGTGGTTCTCAGTGAGGGTGGGGCAATTTTGTCCCACAGGGGGCATTTGACAATGTCTAGAGACATTTTTGGTTGCCACAGGGTGGGGGCTACTGGCATCTAGTGGGTAGAGGCCAGGGCTGCTGCTCAACATGCTACAGAGAAAGAATGGTCCCACACTACAAAGAATTATCCAGCCCCCAATGCTAATAGTGCTAAGGCTGAGAACCCCTGGTCTAGATGTTGGTCTTCTGTATGGTTCTGGTCTGAGCCCTCTTTCCTCCCCACTCTCCACTTCCTGCATCACGTGACCTGCTCTTTGGAACCTGCAGAAAAAAGTAAGCAGCCTAATACGTTTCCTAGGATTCCTCCCCAACAGCCTGCGTGAGGGACCCGACTTACCCGGACACTGGGCCGCTCTGGAGGGACCTCGGACACCATGTTGTGGTTGGATAGGTCACTGTTGGCGGTAGTTGGGCGTTTCCCACCTGTTTTATTGGACATGTCCAAGGTCGATCTGATTTCAAGTTGACCAAAAAAGAAGTGACTAGTGAGACCAAGAGACAATGGGTGCCACCCATCCCTTTTCCCATCCCTGCCATTCACTGTTCCAGCATTCAGCACAAATTAGGTCCCCTCAGTGCTCCCAAGGGGTCCTCTCAGTGGCTCCTGCTGCTTTTCCGAGATTATATGCCAGTAACCCTGGACAGTCTCCTCTTTTTTTCCTGAAAATTTATCTTAAAAACCTAGACCCTAGGACTCTGGAACTCGGACTATGAGAGTCCTTTAATTATCTTTTTTTCCTTTCATTTACTGAGCCAAGATCAGAGGAATTAGCATTTGGCTCTCGTGGTCATAGCAGATTCCCTCACTACTCTCCTCAGAGGCCCCTGGTGATTGATATGCCAGCCTCAGACATGTCTCACTCCTTTAGCTCAGCCCATGGGATGCACTAACCTGGGACCTGCAAGATTCCAGAAAAAGTGGTTGAGGGTATCAAGCCAGATGGGTGTCAGGAGTTTCCAGTCCTCAGAACTGAGGTGAGCGACCCTAAACCTCTCCTGCTCTCCTTTCTGACCCCCACTCCCTTCCTCTTCCTAGCTACACAGAGGCAGCGGGATGATGGTGGTTAAGGATGGAAAGGCCAACAGCAAGTAAGGGGTAAACGTACATTTTCAAGTCAAACTTTTTGTTTTCCTCTGGGACCTGGCCGGTCAGTGGGTGTAGAAATGTGTTCCGTCTTTCATTATGGCTGTGGAGGCAAAAGAGAGAGAGAGAGGCTGTGGTCAAGACGAAGAATTCAGAGACACAGGCTAAAGCGTGGACAGGTCCTAGGCAGTGACAGGGATGGTGACCGCACAGGAGCTTGTTGCTCTGTCCTCCAGTGGGACCGTAAGCCGCAAGACAGAGGGCTGGGCTGTAGAAGGTCATTTGGGGAGGGGAGGGGAGGGGAG